TTTACTTCAGCACTTCTCGATTTTTTTCTTTATTCTGCCTGTATATTTTATTCCTTTCAATACTGATGTCGACGGCATCTCTGATCTTGAGTTTTCTCGTATTTTCACTATATGTGATCAGTCTTTCTATTGCTTTCCAGTTGATCTCTCTTTCCATCCATGCAATTTATTTCGCTATTTCTGCTCCCTGATCTTCTATACTTCTCCGAAGTCTATTATTTCTTGATTTTCCTTCCTGTTTAACTAATACACAGTCGGTACATACTATGAGACAAACTTACGAGTGATCCAGTTTGTTCATCTAATTTTGTGTCGGTAAGCTTGTGAAGAGAGTTCTCTTCTTCGAAACTATGCGGGTATTCCATTTTTTAAATATCGGTCGCAATTTTGGATCACTTCACAGTATGACAGGTATATCTACTCTTGGTCATCTTGTATCGTATATTATAATATCCATCGTACCCTCTGCTCTTTAAAACCCTTATTTTTCTTCATATGACTTCTCTCGAGGTTTCCGTTATTAAGGAATTTCCAAGTTGCTTTGTTCAATCCCTCTTCCTAGGAATCCATGTCCCTTACCCTCAAACTTCAGATTATCATGTTTATTATTCCAATGTCTCGTCTGTTTTCGTGATGAGACAGGAAATTGATTATTATTCCTTCCTACCATTTATTTCCAAATAATCTATTCCTGACTGCCTCTTTGGAACGAATGAACTCGACAATCAGGAGCGGTTGTTCCACCTTCATTGCGAATATGACTCTCAATAACTTCGGTAATTTCTCTAAATTTTCCCCATTATACAGTCAAAGTGCAAAGTAACTGTCGAGGTATAACATGAACACTCTTGATCGCAATGGTAATGTCTCGAATTCCTTTTCTAATTTGTCCATGTGTTTGGCTATTCCATAACTGTTTAAAATATTTATTCACAGATATTGCCGTTTAATGTGAATTGTACGGTCCTTATTGTTAAGTAAATAAATCATGTTATACTCATCTCCAGCAGAGCCGTGATTGTCCTCTTGCCTATGTTTGTGTTAGTATCGTACATCATAACCTATCAACAGTTGTATTCTTGCTGGTTAACTGTTTTCAATTTTTTGAGATAATTCATTCAAATTGTTCCTGGCTTTTAATAGTCTATCATTTACCGTCTTGAGCTTCAAAAATGATAATTTCTTACGCTTATATGTCCCAAAATGTGTATGTTTAGTCATTCTAAGGCACGTGTCATTAATATGCCTTACCTTCAATGTTCCGTTATTTTTCACTTAGTACTAGATCTGTGCTTTTTCGCCTATTGTGCTTTCTATTTTCTCCTTGCATTGTTTTTCTATTACTACCGTCCCTCATTTTTATCCTACTTGACCGTTCCTTTGTAATGCTATGCATATCCTCATTTATCTCTTATAGTGTTTGGGCCTTTGATATTCCAAGACTCTGGAATATTTCCATTTTCATCTTTCGATTAGTTTCTTACAAGAAGTTTTCCTAAATATTTACAATTTTCACAGTTAGATCTTTTAAGGCGTTTCTTTCGTCATGGAATTAAAAATGTAATCCTTTCCTCAGTACTTCTTTGCCTTCACTATTGAAAGGGACTGTGACTAAACTCATTACTTTTTCCCCATAATTATTTGGAGCAATAGTTTTGTTGATAGTGAAATCACATGAGTTGGGCTGGTTGGCTGGAACTTGCACTTTCTCCTAATCCCATATTTAAGCGCCTTGTTGAACGAATCTAGTCCTGAGCCCTCTGCCACAGTATTCAAGATAATTTCCAGCATTGGGCAGTTGACTTGTCTGTGAATGTATCAAGCCAACGGTCCGATTCTATAAATTATCATGAGGACAAAGAGCACACAGAACCAGATATGTTTAAGAAGTCCCCCTTTCGCTCTGACCAAGTTGCTAAAACTGTCAAACCAACAAAATATTCTTTTTTTGCTCGGCTTCTTTTTCACCAAGTTTCTTGCTTCAAGTCTAGTAATCTCATTTTTAATCTATGTTAGGTTCATTTGCGACCTAAACAAACTTTTGTTCACAAATGAGTTTAGCTAAAATGGTTCAATTCCAGTAAAAGCTTTCTATTCCCACTTTTATTTCTCAAGCCTTAGGCTCTTTATTCTATGTCAATGCCACCATTTCCACGAATAAAAATGTGCGTTCCAACTTATTGCCCGATATTTTCTTCGTTCGACTTCTGTTGACATGATAGCTGAAACAGTTTAACCTCCTTAGATAGTTTTATTATTGTTTTTAGTTCTGTCTAGCATTTTTTTGACTTTAGTATTTAAGGTTTCATATTCAAGGCTTAATCTTATAATTTAGCAGATCATACATGTATCGTCACAATATTCATTCTTTCAACTTAACATACTGTTAGTGACTTTATTATTGATAATTGTAGATTTGATATTTTGGCCTGAGGTGAAGCGCCCGTATATTTGTTATGCTGGTTTCTAAATTTGATTTTATTTACTGCAAACATCATCTATTGACTTCCATATGTACTCTGAGAGTTTTTTCTTCGCAATGTCCTTTCCTATTTTTCAAGTTGTATTCTGCATCCAGACATCCTTCTTGTTTATCCTGTTGATTCTCACCTATTCTTATATCATTTTGTCCTTAATTTTTACAGTCCAACAATGGTGTATTGATCTAATTCTCTCAGCTTCATGGGCTGATCCTTTCTCGCATTAAAAACGTTCTTAATATGGACTAATTGATTGGTTTCGTTAATAAATTAAGTTAGTAAAACGAATAACCTATGATCATTTCAAAATCATATTTGTCTGAATACTCTGTCGTTTTAGTTTCCCTAAGCTAGATAAAACATGAAAAAACTTAGGTCTATCTATAAGATTTTTACCAAATTACTTGTGAATTTGTTTTTCTTGAACACGATTCCCTAAATAACGCAATAATTTATTCTAAAACGGCCAAATTTGTGTTATAAATAGATGCTTTTTTAGTGAATCACAATTTAGCTCTCCTGGTCTTAGTGGTAAATAATTACTTACAAGGATTACAATTATATCACCCCATGTAGTCTATTTTACTATGTTACCAAAATGCTCAACATGCAGATCATATTTTTCACAATATTTAAATATTTTCTCTAGAACAAATTTTATAATTTTCAGATATCTCACATTAGACATTTGCTATATCTTCACTTGTCTACTATTGAAGCTTAAGCGTCAGGTCACAAACGACCCCGATAAATCAAGTAAAGAACCTTTTTTTCTCTGTTCACTATTTCGAGATAAATGTGCTAATATGAGCTTAGTTGTGTCTAAGCAGAAGTTATAGTCTTTTAAAGCACTCTTCCATTAATCTTGCTCTATCTGATTATGTTTTCATTCGGTCTCATACATCTAGCTCGAGTGACCTGTCCAAACACAACCGGACACACACGGGCGAGAAACCATTTACTTGTCTGCTTTGCGGTAAAGCATTCGGTGACTCGAGCAGCTTGTCAGCTCACAAGCGCACGCACACTGGTGAAAGGCCTTATCGGTGTGCTGATTGTGGTAAAGGCTTCTCAGTCTCCAGCAGCCTCGTAAAGCACCGACGTATCCATACCGGTGAACGGCCTTACAGCTGTCAGGTGTGTGGACGCAGGTTCACAGACAATAGCAGTGCTGCAGCACATCGCCGGCGTAGCCAAGGCTGCGCACCAATCGCGCCTGGGTGAGATCCTTTAATATATGACCTTCCAGTCACAGTCACTCGGCTGATAAGTTCTGCGAGCCACCTTTATTTGACGTACTTTCTCTAATATGAGATGTATTCACCCAATTTCGTTTATGGTGATAAAGGACTGGTAGAAGAAGAATTTTCCCACGACGCTATAAGTTGAGCTGACGTTTCCATTGAATTTCACATAGCCTTGCTTTCCCAAAAGTTGTTCTCATCCAGG